CTGTAGGCTCTTAAATTAGCCACAGTGTTGAACTGGTGGGAGTTGCAAATGCCCTTGAAAATTAATTGACTTGTGTCCCTGTTTTAGATTCCTGTGTTTGGAAATTTAGGCGTAGTGTTTAGGATACGTAACAAGTCACCCAACTGAGTTTTACGTCACATGAAGTAATGCATGTTACTAGAATATTTGTATTTATATTGTCCATAAGAACGTGTGATTTTTCTGGAAATACTGATCAAACTTATTCTTTCACTGGGGTGTATGTATGTAATAATGATCCTCTATGTCTTTGTGTGTTGAACTAGCATGCTGTCACTTCCCCTTTTTTCCAGTGTTAATGTGAAGTAATTTTAGAAGTTGCTTTTTTCGTGCGGAGCTCGATGGAATATGCAGGACCTCTTTTTTCTTCTTTTTTTTTCCCTTCTATCCTGGGTACAGATGACTTTTTATGCCCTTTATATTGCTAAATAAAGTACAGAATTGCAGTACAATGTGGTAGTGAATAAGCAATTATTTTAAAAGTCAACATGTACGTTTGTTTGCACATCATATGCTTATGTTAGAGGGGTTTCTGTTAATTACCCTTCCATGCTGCATAGACAGGACCAAAGCAATGTCTAGGAAGAAACAGTCTAGCATATATTTTTCAAATTGATCAGGAAACTTTCTGCCCCATGTCTGTACCAGGTAACGATTGCGTGTGTATTGTGGTATCTATTCAAAAAAGAAGGAAGAGACCTGGTAGAAGATGGGCTCATATCTCAATGCAGATACTTGTCAGCTCTCACAAGTAATTTTGCTCACAAAGAGCTTCGTGGTGAGCCTGGCAATGGATATAGAAAAATAAAATTAATAATTACACCTTGGAGTTGCTTTGTGTGATGTCTCACTCCTGCCTTGCTACATAAACCCATTACCTCTCCCTTTGTCTCCGTGTTTCAGATTGCAGGGCTCTGCAGGCCTCCAAACTCCATCTGTAAAAACTCAAAAAAAGGAGTTGTTCTTGGAGAAGCCAATTTTTATCCATTTTAGTAACTTGTGAAAAAATCTGTTTCGTACTAAATCCAGTATGGCTTTTGAATAGCCGGAGATTCTGGAACACAGACACACTTTGGCAAAGTACAGTGATTCAAAGTGCCTTCTGAAATAAATTAAATAAATAAAACAAACTGTCTTCTCTCCTCCCTCTGCTCTTACAGATAAATTGAATACTTCCAGATAGAAATGCATCTTCCAACTAGCTCTGCTTTTTCCCTTGAAAGATAAAATCACACAGTGGCTCTTGTATCTGTATGATTTCTCCATGCCTTGGGCAAAGAAAGGTGACGGGTCAGATGAACTAGTCAATTTCTAGTTTACCTCCTTGCCTGTTTTGGATGTGGAAAGCACATGTACACATCAAATTGTGTGGTTTATTTGTTAGAATAACAGCTTAGTAGCAACAGCAATTTTTTTCTCATCATTTAGCAGTTGTGTATTTTTTAAGACACCATGTATTAATTTTTCCATATTGTGGTTATTAATTTTTCTAGTTGTGGTTATAAACCACAACTAAAAACTACTGCCATTCTTCAGTACTTGCTTTTCTTGAAATGCTGAAATCTCAGCAAATAGATCTTTTAAAGTGTTTTGTTAATCCACGTGTTCTAGTTTTAGGATAAGGGATTAATTCCCCAGTCCTCTATTGAAGTTCAGACAGGTGGACTCTTTATCTGCTGGAGGGCCCCAAGGGGGTGATTGCAGTTATATATAGGCTCAAGGTTCTGCTGCAGCAGCTCCGATTGCAGAATTTGTCATTGTTGCATAAATGTTAGTGGAAGCCTAAACTTGTGTGGAGAAAGCTGGGGGGGGGTGGATCTGGGAGGAAGGAAAAAATAATTTTCTAGCTTTGGTGGTGTTTCTGTGGGGTTTTGCCCTCCCTACCGTGGAACAGGTCCCCTGGAAGAAATACAGCAGCAATGGTAATGGTTTTAAACAAAATACACCCTCTCCCTCACCTCAAAAGATTTTTTTTTACCAAACCATTTTGTATCTTGAAGTTAGTTTGCAGTTTCCCATGTTACACGGGGTCTCTGTACAAGGATCAGTTATTTTAATGGAAAATGACAAATTTTTCTTATGATTAAAATATCAAGCATGTCCATTGACTGTTAAATCTAATTTGCTGTGACTGAAATGTTCTCCAGTGAGATAAGATAATCTCCTGTTATAGGTCAGAGGGCTCCAACTGATTTATGAGGGAAAAACTTGGTAGAAAATATAGAGCTGTGTTTTGTGCTCTTATTTTCCAGCTTTTCTATCATCACCTAGTTAGTCATTCTTTATAAGATTTCCATTTAGCAATCCATAAAGTGACTTCAAAGAAGGCTAAAAGTTTATAAGCTGTTGGATAAGCAAGGCTGGAGCTATCACATGAATAATGGAACATGCTTACGGAACTAATTGAATTCATATTAGATGAAGATAAGTACTTAGTACTGATAAATAATGAGATAGGAAAATGAAACTCTTATCAAATGAACATGTCCCTTTCATAATCTTGTTTTATTTTCTACCTGCATGCTGTGTGCTGGTTTAGTGTTCAAATTCTACTAAATTGACCTGTGTGCTATGAGTGGTGTCAAACTTCGCTGGCAGCCTTTTACCTTTTGTCATAGTAAACGATTGTTTCAGCAACTGTTTCTGTAGGAAGGTTATTAGTGTGATGGCGCTGATGGAAGAGGAATGCCCTTGACCTAGTAGACTACCTATTGGAATCTAGGCACATGTGGGTTTGATTAAGCGTTGGGGATAGCTCTGTTCAGCTGTCAGACTCCGAGCTGCTGGCAGTGTGCTCTTCTGTGCCAGGCTTCCAGTCATTCCAGTAACAATAACACCCACCCTTTTCATGGGGCACAAAACCAGCCTTCAGAGTTAAAGTTCGTGATTAGAAAAGTACTACTTCTTTTTTATTTTTTATGGGTTTTTTTTGTTTTTTTTTTTTTAATATTCCAGTCACTTGAGGGCTTTTTCTGGGATTTCAGAGTTTTACTTCTTGCAAGATGATCCAGAATGAATTTGTGTGTGAAACATCACATTGCCTTTGTCAGAATGTTTGCCTGATATTTATTCCTAAGCATAAAGGACAGTTGTGGGTATCATAAAGCCTATAGGAACAGATTTTTGTTTCGCTTCAACCTGGCATGAGTAAGTATGTTAGGAGAAGGTGGTTCACTAGAATTCATGCTGTAAGACAAAGCAGCTGATCTCAGTAATGTTGATAGTCTCTTCCTTAGATGAGCAGAAAGCTGCATTCTCCCTCTGCAAAAAAAAAACACATATTCTGAAAGCACTTTTGGGCATATTTATCTGGTTTAGTTCAGGTTGGCAGGAGGATGTGCTGTTTGTGATCCAGCCTGATTATACGCCAGTTACCCTGTGCGGAGTCTGAGATAACGAACTGAGAAACAGGTTACATCAGCTGGGGGTTAGGTCTGACAGTGCCCTGTGGTTTCCTCATGCCGTGGAAGACACCCCGAGAATTCATTGACCACTGGCATCTTCCAGTGGTAGTGTTAATTGTTAATTATATCGTTTGGTTGGGGTGAGGAGTAGTAATTAGCTTTTTCCATCCATTTATACTTAGTAAATCACTGCCTTTTCTAGCTATACCTGAAGAAGTGTAGCTTTTTCACAGGGTTTAAATGAAGGGGTTGTATATATAAATATGTATACACTTAGATCCAGGTCTTAAATTAAATGTAATTTAGTCACAAATATCATAAATACAGCTGTACATGGTTTCAGAAGTACTGATAGGAACGCATTTAAAAATACGATGGGATTGTCTTTTATCCAATTATTGGGAAAATGAAAATAATATCTGTGTTCTAATAAGAGATTCTCTGTGCAGGGATGTTTGAGGGGTGAGTTTTAAGACAGACAAATACCGTGGTACCAAGTAGACTTACCACTAAGTGTAGAAGGTTCTTTTATTCCGTTGCACAACAGTGCTAGAGCAGCACTAGTGATGTTTGTCACTCAGTTGGCAACAGCTGCTTGTGATAAGGATCTTGAGAATCACCTGTGCAGGATCAGGGCACTGCACATCAAGGTTGGGACCGGGCGGAAGAGTGGGAGATGCACGGGAGGGGGCCGCAGCCCACCTGCTGCGCCCGGATCAAAGGGCCGGGGGGTCAGGGGGCACATCCCGCCTAACCAGATTTGTCTGCTGAATAGCCATTTCAGATTGTAAATCTAAGGGTGATTTCATTAAGTCCTTCTGGCTGCTGTTGGGGCATGAAATAATAAAATTTTATATCCGTTGCCTTTCCTGCTTCTGGCAGCCAGATTGACACATTGTTGTCTGCAGTGTTGTGGTGTTTTTCTTAAGAAAATAAAGGGAAACTATTAACTAAGTAGAGACAAGCCATTAAGTAAAGGGATTTTCAACTCGTTGTGAGTCATACTTTCATCATAATCTCCAATATAATGTACAAACTAACTAGTAAGAATATTAGGCTTTATTAAGAGTTTTGCCTTTCCAAAAGAATTTCTTTTTTCTGTTAGAATATTTTTCAATACCTTGATCACATTTATACCTGGTTATAAAACCTCACCATCAACCTGGTTTATATTTTGGCACCAATTTAACCATGAAGTTATGCAAATCGCTTTTTGGGGTAGGAGGGTGGCGGGGGGGGTGTGTTGTTGTTTTTTAAATTAACTGTTCAATAAAATTGTTCATCTGAGAGGAGTTTAACTTAGGGATTTTTATGGTAGGAAATGCAAACCTGCCAACTGCAGACAGCAATCATAAAATAACATTTAGTATAAACTGGTGTTAGTATTTTTGATGACTATTGCTTCTAGCATGTGATTGGAGTGAGACAGAGGAGCACCCATTCATACTCCCATTCAAATATAGTTTCTCAGTGTTTTTGTGAACTTTCACATAAAACATTTAAATTACTTCAAGTGTTTGGCTGCTTGTGAGCCGGACAGACGCACTAACTGCTGCTTATTTACTGACCTGGTGTTTAAGGCCCCCTGGAGTTTGTTTGAAAAGTTAAGAGATTTTCACAGCAAAGGTGCCATTTCTGAAATTTAAAGTGCTCTTTTCACCAGGAGATAAGTTCTCTCTGATTAAGTCAGTAATTCTTACTAAGCCATGTTTATAGAGGCCATAAACAATGGGTTCAGTGTGCTTGTTAAACCAGCTTTCCATACCTCTCCACTCTTTTAAAAAGAGACATTTAAAATAAAAGGCAGGTGTGGATGTTAGTTCAATTTGATGGTTTTTAGATGATTAATTATGGCTACAAGTAATTCGGTAAGGATGGTCAAGAAGGGTTTGCAGTAAGTGATATGTGAGGCACATTTTCACTGAATCACTTCTTTTGACTCAGCAAATCCCCAGTCTGTAGTAAAATTAGATAAGGAAACTGTAATGTTCATATTTCCTCTTGTTTTTTGCTTCTTCATGTTTTTTTCAGCAAAATATGAGCATACTGAATATAGTCCATTCTGTTTAACAGGTATCACTTTATTTGTAATATTTTGCTTGATATTGAGGGAGCTGTGAAATATGGGATGTGACTGTGTATGGCTTAGTGGCAGTCCCTTCATGTTCTGAGAAAATCACAAGAACACGCATTCTAACAGTGAAAATGATCTACATGTAGTTGCAATTCATAGACTCCAATGGGATTTACTGTGAGAAATGCAGTTGAATACTGGGGATTTTTACTAAAATTGCAGCAAGAGAGTAAATTTCTGTCCGTTGGGCTGATAGGTGCTATGTTTGGTGAAAGAACCATGCGATTATTTGACAGAAGCCTTTATAACTAACTGATAATACCTTTATCAAAGGTTACAGTGAAGAGAAAGATGATAAAACCAGGTAAGGATTAAGATGAAGTGGTCAGTCTGCATTTCTCTAGGATAAGCCACAATTGGACCACTGAAAAAATATATTTCTTCAAATGCATTGCAAGACGGATGCTATAAATCACGTTATTCTCAAGTGTTTTATTAAATTTGAAGGTTTGTCTCCAGGGAAATCCCCTGTCCTAATACAGGTGTTGAGAACTTTTAAAGTAAAGATGTCCTCTTCACAGTGTAAATGTGTAGCACAGCAGATTTTAATATTAGCCTTCCTTTCAATACAATTATTTCTGGGCCGTGTGTGGAGATGTTTACATTGACCAGCATTTATACTCCTACCACTACAAGAATCATCCTTCTGTCCTGGACCCATGGCAGACAGCCCTTGTCACAAGCCTGTTCTTTGCTAGAGAAAAACCCAATGTTTTGCTGAAGGGAAGGTGCAGATTTATCATCAGTGTTACAAAAACACCCATTGACAAGTTCAAGCACATGTTTGTTGCTTCTCCGGCAAGAATCAAGAGGAGGTTTTCATTCCTTCTGTCTTGTCCTACTACGACTCGATTTTGACAAGCTTCTGGCTTTGGTTAAGTACATTGCAAGGCCTTTTTGTTGGAGCTTTTTAGACTCCTCTGAGTATAAGTGAGATTTTTAATTTTCTGAAACAGGAAGGAGCAAATCAGTTTGTCTGGTGCTTCCGGACTCCTAGAAGGAGCAAGACTCCTGGATTGCTTTAGAGTTTATCAGATGCAGCCAACAGAGTGACCTTTGGTTCCTGAAATATAGAGGAAAGTACCTGGTTTGTCATGCAGCGTTTGTGCTTTTTATATGAGAAGCATTAAATGTAATATTCCTCCATTTAAGTTAAAGACATTTCTCATGGAAGACCTAACATTAAATGTCTACAAAGTGTTTTTTATAGTCATTGCCTTCCCCCTCTGCTCCCAAGTACACAGCAGTTTTCTTTATAGACAGAGGACTGAGCCTTGAAAACCAAAGGTAATTATTTAGATGCCTAAGGCTCAACTTTGCCATTGTTTTAGAGCTTTAGTTCCTTTCTTTTAAAGGAAACAATTCCCCCACCCTGCAAAACCTTAATTAAAAACTGAGTATGGTTTTGTTCATTTTCCTCCTCAGTAACTTGCATTTGGTCCTATATATAGGTATGTTGGAACTTAAACATTTGTTTACAGTGTCACTGGGACATTTCCTTAATTTACTGTATTCTAGTTCCACTTTTCCTGATTTTCAAAGCTCTATTTGAAGAGGCTTTAAATATGTATGATCAGTCAGTCAAAAAAACCCAACCAAACTTCAATTCTCCTGTTAGTGAAAAAGTGTTAAAATAAATATTTCAGTGCTGCTCTGTTTCGTATCAGTGATTCGTTTACTGTTGTTTAAGCAGGGAAGTAAAGTCTGACAATGTTTAAATTTGCTTAGATCACCAATGGCTTTAGACACTTAAAGTCAAAGGTACTGATGATCACTCTTTTGAGAAATGGGTTGTGTTTTTCTTTTGTGTGTCCATGTACTGTTACAGATGATGTTAACACTCAGATTAGAGCTGTTTCTTTCTCTCAATTCATGGGAACAGGATAAAGAGTTTAGACTTGCTGAAGATTAAGTGGCCAGGATATGGTGGTGTTCTTTTTCTCTTAGCAGTTTTTCATTTTATTTATTAAACTCTGGTAGCATCCATTTCACTTAAATACAGCTGTAAACTTGCGTCTGTTGGAGTTCTAAAGTTCAACCTGGAATTCGGAAACCAGTTCTCAACCCTGACTTACTGCAGTTCTTAACTCCTAGAAAAGCCACTGTTTATTGTTATTTGACTCAGATAGAAACTGCTAAATATGCAGACAGGATACCAGAATTAAGGCTAACATTAGTGGAGGTGTTTGAAATAAATCTTCTCTTGAATAATCACAAACAGTAGCTCTCTAGTTTCAGAAATTTTAGTATGCACAATGTTAAGGACTTCCCTCTGCAAATTGATGGGTAATTTTTTAGCATTGTAAAATGTAAATGAATAAAACAAATGGTGACAGAAAGACAGGACTGTTGGTTGTTTTTAAAATGCTTTTGTAATGCCTTCATGTTACGTCATCACTTGTGTCCTTTGTGCCTAAAATTTAACTCTTCATTCTTATATTTTCCTTTAACTTTTCTTGAATTTGCTTATATTTAGAAAGTAAGAAACATGGCCCTGGAAGATGTAGTGATTCTTAATGTAGACACCAACACACTGGAAACCCCTTTTGATGACCTTCAGAGTCTTCCTAATGATGTGGTATGTATGAAATGATTTATCCAACTATTCCATTACATAAAAGTTTAAGTCCTTGTGACCTGTTTGGTTTCTAACTGAGATGTCTGATTGTGTTACTCTCATTATTGTAAGCAAACTGCTTTACCTCAATTCTTTCCGGTTTTGAAGTGTTAAAGAATGCTTGTTTGAACATTTGCAGCCATATTTTTAAGCCTTCTAATGAAAATTAGCTAATGCTCACATAAGCTGGCAATGCTGCAGCAACCCAGTTTCAGTTTTGGAATGGTGTGATCAGGTTTCAGGTCATCTGAAGAGTTGGTCTTCTGTGGGTAAAAAGACGAATGAAAAACATGCAGGTTATGGTACCACTGAACACGAAACAAAAATTCCAACTTCTTTGTTCATGGTGTGAAAATGTGCTACTAATTTAAACCATTTCATTTGGGGGGGGGGGGGGGGGGAGACAATTTTTTTTAGAAAGAGAATCAATTTTTAGATAACTTTTCGTTTTCCAAATGAAATTGCCTGGGTGTTTTTCTGTGACTTCTTCCAGGTGAGCTTTCATGAACTTTGTACGTTTTGTATCCTGAGTTGTGATTATCGAAAAGACTACTTCCTATTCCCTTGTAGCCCTGCTTAGCACGTATAATTTGGAACTTTCTTTCTCCTTCAACATTTTTATTGGTAATTTATTTATTTTTTAATTACTCAATGGCAGTGTTGTATAAATACTTGATCTTTCCTGTTAATAGAAGAAAAATACAACCAGCATGCTACTTGCTGCTGTAATCATCTTCACTAAAGAAGCTGCGAGTGAAGAACAGTAATGTAAGAGGGTAAGAAGTTATTTTTAAGTCAGAGGGTGACTGTTTAGGAGAAAATGGCAGGGGGAAATCTGGAATTCTTTTACTAGTTCAAAATATTGTGCCGATAGTTAGATCTATGCCTTTTTATGTGTAGTTGAGAAATAAAATTGATACGCAGGGAGCTCAATGTAAGCTGGTCTGTCTGAGTTAAAACTCGAGTAATGGTGGATATACCCCGTGTGAATATACCTCCTCCTGTGAGAGCCTGTCATTTCTCTGTGATCCGTTCTTCGAAAACAGTGAGCTCTGGATGAAAGGTCCATCTTGATTGTGAACATTTTGGCTTTAGTTAAGCATTTAGTCTATAAAAGTTACTTCCACAAATTTTTCTGGCTTTATATAGTTTTTCATTTTGATTCCACTCCCGGCATCCAAATGTGCCAGCTGGTCATCGCTCGCGCCATTATCCACAGCCCGGGGAATGACAGACTTGTAAATTTAATGGAATTATGTAAGAAATGTCTGGATACAGTGAGTGCGGGGCCTCAAACATGTATATGATTTGTCAACAATCAAGTATTATATTAGATTTTATGAGACTTCATTAAAGGAGCTGTTGTAGGCGCACTGTAGAACATCAGAAGAGACTTCACCAATAAACGCAGAACTTCAAGCTTTGGAATGTAATAAATTTTAAGAGACTTCCTTCCTTTCATTATTTACTTTTACTTCACTTTTATAACAGTAGAGAGTTGTGTTTTATTAGTTCAAATTTCTTGATTCAGTTTTCCACAGGTCTATTTAAAAGCTACATTTTATCTTGGAGGATGTTTGGAGCATAGCAGAGGAAGTGCTGCCAGCAAATTCAATTAACTGGCATGGCTCACAAATAGTGTACATGGTGTATTTTTTTTCACAACTGCTATATAAATACAGCTGGGATTAATATTTGTCGCAACAAAGCCTTAACTTGAATCGTGTTGTACTGTGTAATTAATGTTTGGGATCAGTGTTTATGTCTTATTTAGCTTTGTTTCATTATTTTAGTTACCTAGATAATGAAGTATTCTCCTCTAGGTCTTTTCCTTTCCTTCAGACTGCTTAATATTTGGCTTTGACCACTAGAGAGCAGCTGCTCTTCTTTGCAAGAATTGAATTTCTGTCAGTTCTTTCATGCATCATGTGTTTGGAACTGTAAGTGGATCAAGTTGTTCGTCTCAGCAGGGAGACTCTAAAGCCAATCCATTATACTTTTTTTTTCTCCCTCCCCCCCCCCTTATTTTTTTTTCTTCTTCCCTAGGAGGATGGGGAGATTCTGGGAGTGTGTCCTCCCTCTGGTCTCAGTCTTAAATAGATGCATGTATGATCTGAGAAACTAAAAATATCTTCAAGAGTTTCATGATCATAAATGGCTCACGTCAAACTATTCTGCCTGTTTTGCTACTTCATGTGAACAGTGAGCAACTGATGCACTACTGAATAGACACAAAATTTACTTTGCTAAATTAGATCTATCCGTATTCAACAGTGAGGAAAAACATCTTCTGTGCGATGTCATCGCCATCAGGTAATTAATCCAGTGGAAAATCTTTGAAGCTGTTTTCCCTTCTCCTTGAACAGCTTTTTTAACCAAGTAAATGAAGTCCTATGGTTATTTTAGAGCTTCAGGTAGTGAGTTGTGCTTGAGTTTAATGGGAGTGATGTTGTGACCTAAACCATTGGTTCTTGGGAGTCTAGAATGGGCTATTCTTTAGTCTTTTACTCCCAAGAACCAAACGAACATAGGCTACACTGAAGTGTCTTTCCAGTTAACATTTGTGCCACAGGAGCTGGCTGGCATTGAGGCAGTTTCAGCAGAGTCAGACCAAGCCACTTTTTTGCCCCGGTTTACCTCGGCAGTCTCTGCTGGCACTCAAGGTGTGTACTACGGCGTTACTGACTAACTATTTGAAATGTGAAAAACTGTCCCTCAGTCACCTTCTGCTTCTGATATTTTGCTGAAAATCTGGCAGCATGAGAACGCCCTGGGAAGTAACTTTCCTTTTAAAATAGTCAATATTAAAAAAAGAGATTTATTAAGGACTGTGATTACAATAAGTGCATCTGCTGCTGACAAGTCTCCTACACCACCGTCTGTGTTGCAAGGAATAGCGAAGAGGGGGTAGTAATTTTTTTTTTCAGGCAACCCTTATGGATTTTTCATGTATTTCCAAATAAGTGTCATCTTCTAGTCTTAGTTGTACTCAGAGCTTCATATTACAAAGAGTAAAGCATAAGCTCACTCTGTCAACTTGTAGTTTTTATTAAATGAAGCCCTGATGCAATGCAGTGTACTGCGCCAAAGAGATCTTGTGTATCTGATGGCTGTGAGCGTATTGTAAATTTACACTAGCCTATGAATATCTCAGGCTGTCAGTAATTTCCTTGTGTATGCTGCTGTTGTCCATTCATTAACAAGTTACCACAAGTAGGAAGCCTATGTTACTCTGTTTCACTTAGTGGGAAATTAACTGCTTTCAGGACAGCAAGAAGCACTAAACTACAACTCTATAGCAGAGCCATTTTCTTAAAGGTGAATCCGTTTTAATTTCTTACACTGTGTTTGCAATAGAATGTTTCTTGCTTTATTCATGTTGACAACTGAAAAGCCTTGGACCTAATTAAAAGAATTTCCACTAGCACCTTTACTGAACCATTTCATTATGCTGCATTGCACAGATTGCATTTTGAAGCATGGTGATAGTTTAAATTGGGCCTTTAAACCTGAACTGCCAGAAGTATAAAAACTATCTTTAAAAACACTCTGAGGGTAGACTGCATGTATATGTGTCTGCTTGGCTAGAAAGAATCTTCATCTTTGTGGTCACAGTCCTTTTTTAAGTATTACTGCCTCTTTAGGCAGGAAACAATCATAGTTTTGCTTGTATAATCTACTTTGTCTTATGTACCAGTGTATTCCAGAGTAAACATGAGTTACTTTTTTCTTGTTAGTCTCTTTAAGTATGTTGTTGTTAACATTTTCATCTTTTAAAAAACACTATGACACGCCTATTGCCATAATCCTGATTGAAACATTAAAAGTGTACACACATAAAATAGACATCCTACAGTGTTTGATATAGTCTTAAAAGAGAACAATGATCTGAAAGCTTTAGGAATTAGCAAAATACCTATCAATATTCTGCTTCTATACCAAATAGGGAAGCTGGAACACAGAAAGGCTTTGACTAGCTTTCTGAACTTTGTTTGTTGTAAAATGAAGCATAGGCCCCTTCTATATAGATGGCAAGTTCTTTAACAATGTCTGAGATGGATTTGGAAGTTACTCAGAGTTATGGACATGTTATTACACTTGTAAGAACGACCTTTAAATGGTTTACGTAAGTTACTATAGGAAATACACATGTATGTCATCCCTACAGCATCAGACCCCTTCAAACATGGAGAAGTGTGCTGTTCAGGTTTGAAAATCTGATGAAGCTTTTACATTTCAAGAATAACAAAGCTCCTTAAGATGTATTATCTTAGTGAATAGGAGTGGGCTTATTTCATAGGCATGGTAGAATAAGTCTTTTATCATGTGTTATGTTAATATGTGCTTCTGAAAAAGGAAGATTTGCTAGTTACTGATAGAATTATTTCTATTAAATTCATAATATGGATACTTATGGAGTCATTCATGTTCTGCAAATCAAGATGAGTGGAGATTTCCTTGCTTTCTGCTTTCCTTCTGAAACTGTGGTTCCTTCCTGTCTTCTGCATAAGGTCTCCCATCAAACTCGGGTTTTGCACATGATGTGACCCCATCCTCTAAAAGCACAAGTTGGATTCCTTTCAAGAATCAGTGCCCAGATTGTTGGGGTTTTTATTGCTGTGTGTTGTGCGAGAGATACCTCGAAACTTGGCTTGTCCTGTCTCTGCAACACCAAAAAATTGCTACTGACAATAATGTTTGTTAATGATTTAACATAACCTGTAAGTGTTGCAGCACAGGCACAGTGAGCTTGATGTTCATGTTTGAAAGGGGTTTTTATCTCCTCTCCCAGCTTGTGTTGGGAAAGAAAAACGCTGTCACTAACAATAATATACAGATACACAACCTTACTTCTGTATTTACTGAGCTCTGAGGACTAGAAAAGAGACATCAAACTTAAGTCACAACCTTCTTGCATGTATGAGAAATTCTGAGGCAGAGAATAGAAATGGATAATCCAG